ACCCTCTTCACAGAACTGGAAAAAACCACCTTAAACTTCATATGGAACGAAAAGAGAGCCTGCATAGCCAAGACAATCCTAAGCAAAAAAGAACAAAGCTGGAGGCATCATGCTGCCTGACTTTAAACTATACTACAAGCTACAGTGATCAAAACAGCATGGTACTGGTACCAAAACAGAGATATAGACCAATGGAACAGAATAGAGGCCTCAGAGGCAGCGCCACACATCTACAACCATCTGATATTTGACAAATCTGACAAAAACGAGCAATGGGGAAAGGATTCCCTGTTTAATAAATGGTGTTGGGAAAACTGGCTAGCCGTGTGCAGAAAGCAGAAACTGGACCCCTTCCAACACCTTACAGTAAAATTAACTCCAGATAGATTAAAGACTTAAACATAAGACCTAACACCATAAAATCCCTAGAAGAAAGCCTAGGCAAAACCATTCAGGACACAGGCATAGGCAAGGACTTCATGACTAAAACACCAAAAGCATTGGCAACAAAAGCCAAAATAGATAAATGGGACCTAATTCAACTCCAGAGCTTCTGCAAAGCAAAAGAAACAATCATTAGAGTGAATCGGCAACCAACAGAATGGGAAAAATTTTTTACAATCTACCCATCTGACAAAAGGCTAATATCCAGAATCTACAAAGAACTAAAACAGTTTACAAGAAAAAAACAAACAAACCCATTCAAAAGTGGGCGAAGGACATGAACAGACACTTTTCAAAAGAAGACATTTATTAATGGCTTAGCCCTCTAGACTGTGAGCTCCTGGGCAGGGACCAGGTTGTATTGACTTTGTTTTCCAAGTGTCCTGCCTAGGGCCTGGCACATAGTAAGTGCTCAATAAATGTTTCTCAAGTGCCCTCTGGAAAAAAAAAAAGACATTTATGAGGCCAGCAAACATATGAAAAAATGCTCATCATCACTGGTCATTAGAGAAATGCAAATCAAAACCACATTGAGATACCATCTCACTCCAGTTAGAATGGCAATCATTAAAAAATCTGGAGACAACAGATGCTGGAGAGGATGTAAAGAAATAGGAACACTTTTACACTGTTGGTGGAAGTGTAAATTAGTTCAACCATTGTGGAAGACAGTGTGGTGATTCCTCAAGGCCCTAGAAATAGAAATTCCATTTGACTTAGCAATCCCATTACTGGGTATATATCCAAAGGATTATAAATCGTTCTGTTATAAAGACACATGCACACATATGTCCATTGTGGCATTGTTTATAATAGCAAAGACCTGGAACCAACCCAAATGCCCATCAATGATAGACTGGACAAGGAAAATGCACATATACACCATGGAATACTATGCAGCCATAAAAAACCATGAGTTGATGTCCTTTGTAGGGACATGGATGAATCTGGAAACCATCATTCTCAGCAAACTAGCACAAGAACAGAAAATCAAACACCATATATTCTCACTCATAGGTGGGTGTTGAACAATGAGAACACATGGACACAGGGAGGGGAGCATCACACACAGGAATCTGTTGTGGTGGACTAGGAGAGGGACAGTGGGGGGTAGGGAGGTTGGGGAGGGAAAACATGGGGAGAAATGTCAGGTATAGGTGATGGGAGGATGGAGGCAGCAAACCACATTGCTGTGTAAGTACCTATGCAACAATCCTGCATGCCTGCACATGTACCCCAGAACCTAAAGTGCAATAAAATATATATATATAAAATAAAATAAATAATTATGCTAGGTCTATATACTATAAAGTGCAAAATATTCCTGAGGGTCACAAAAAAACACAAACTAATGGAAAGATAACTTATATCATAATTTTACACGTTCTTGCCAAGTTACTTATCAATTTAATTCAATTCCATAAAAGTATTCACAAGACTTGTTTTGGTATACAATCAAGCTTATACTAAGTTCATATAGAATAACAAACAAGCAAGAAGTCAGGAAATTTTAGAAAAAGGAAATCAATAATGGAATACTCTTCCTGCCATATAGTAAAATACCTAAAGTAAAAAATATATAAATACATAAAATTAAATATTTAAAACAGTGTGATACTGATACACAACAGACAACTAAATGGAATATAATAGATGGTGTGGAATTAAGTCCATGTTCAGGAATTTTATATATGATAAATATGCCATCTCACATAAGAGGAAAAGAGAAGTTATTTACTAATTTTTTAGGATAGCCAGGAAAACATCTAAAAAGTAAGACAGGATCTATAGCTCACATTTTATACTAGGATAATTTCTTGATGTAAATACTTAAATGTAAAAATATTGAGAACAATCAAACAAAAAGACTAGAAGAAACTGTAAGAAAATTCTTCTACAAACTTAGAAGACGCTCTTTCTAATTACTATAAAACCCAGAAGCCATACTATAAAATTGTTTCTCACTACTATGTAAAGGTAGACATTTTATATAAGAAAGTCATTGTAAATAAAGTCAAGCACAAACAAGAAATTGGTAAAAAAAATACTTGTAATTTGTAGCATTACAAAAAATGGCTAAATTTCCTTTTTACTAAAGAATCCCTCCACATGATTAAGAAAAACTCAACAAACCAATAGAAAACTGGACAAAGGACAGAATCAGCTGGTCACAGAAAAGGAGATGGAAATGGCTCTTCAACATATAAAAAGATGTTCAATCACCTTATTAAACAACAGATGAAATCTAAACCACTTCAAGATCTATGTTTCACCATCAGATCGGTAACACAGTAGTTAGTGCAAATGTAGAAATCGAGTTCTCATACTTTGCTGCTGGGAATGTGAACCAATACACTATGCTGAAGGACAAGTTGGCAATATCTAACAAAGTTCCCAATTCACATATCCTTTGCTCCAGCATTTCCACTTCTAAGAATTTATCCTCCAAATAAATTAATGCATATGCTTAATGGCCTAAGTTCTCAGTTGATTATTGTAGCACTGTTTGCAATAGCTAAAGACTGGAAATAACTTAAACTTTGCATCATAGGGGGCTGGCTACATCAATGATATTACATCTACACAGTGGGATACTGTACAACTGTAAAACAAAGAAGAAAGTGCTTTATATACTAATATGGAATAAGTTCCAAAATAAAATGAAAAGTTCAAAAAGAGTGCACATAGCATGCTGCCATGCTATCACTTGCATTAAAAAAAGAAAGAATATGTAAATTTGCTCTTACACGTACAAATTCTGTCTGCAGGAATGCCTGAGAAACTGATGACAATATCTATCACTAGGATAGAACCTGGATTGCTCAAGGACAAAGAAGGGAAAGAGAACTTTTTATTTTGTGCCTTTTGTACCCTTTGATTCTGAACCATGCAAATGTATTATCAAAAACGCACAACACATTAAATTTTATGATGTGTGACATAAGAGTGTATTGCCACACATCATAAAATTTAATGTATTATGCATTAATAGTTTATTAAATTATTTAATTTATTAAACTAAAGTTTAATAGTTATTAATTTGTTATGCATGTTTAAGAGTTATACTTCAAGCTGTCCATGCTTATCCTGAACCTGGCTGAAAATAAAGTCTCTTGTTAATCTAAATAGCTATTTGATTAAGGTACCACTGAAGACAAATAATATATTACCTGAAAACTAATGTTCCAAAATAAAAGTTAGATAAGAAAATAAAAAGGCTTTTTTTTTGAAAAAAGCAAAACAAAGTTGTTCAACAATAGAGATGGTAGGATCAGACTTTGTTTAAAGCAGCCGAACAAGCATCAACAACAAAAAAGAGCTCCTGTGAATGTTTAGCTAAACTGTCTCTAAGGGAATAGACAAAAAGTTTGGCAAGAAGGAGAGGGGATGAGCTAATACATTTTACTTTTTATTAGATATTTCCATATTGTTGGATTACTCTGATTATTTGATATATTAATTTTAGAATTTAAAAAATTTAATCAGATTTAAATTATTTAAAAAGCCTGCATTTCCATTGGTAAGCAAATATGCCTAGGTGTTTAGGCTAGGAGTTTAAAGGAAAAAACATTATATGCATAAAGATGTTCATTCAACACCGTATTAAACATAAGTATATGCATATATAACATATATACAAATATAAGTTAAACAATAAGACGATAGTTCATTAAATAACATATCCACCAGACAATATTCAATTAAATTACATTTATGTACACTACATGGTAACTGGCATGATATCTATGATATAATGTTGTTTATAAATGATACAAAATTTTTGGCTAGGCATGATGGCTCACATATGTAATCCCAACATTTTGGGAGGTTAAGGTGAGAGGATTGCTTGAAGCCAAGAGTTTGAGACCAGCCTGGGCAATATATTGAGACTTCATCTCCACAAAAATTAAAAAGTTAGCTAGGCACTTCAGTCCAGAAGTTTGAGGCTGCAATGAGCCACGATCACGCCACTGCCCTCCAGCTTGTGAGACAGAGCAAGACCCTGTCTCTTAAAAAAAAAAAGAGTCTGGGCATGATGGCTCATGCCTGTAATCCAAACACTTTGGGAGGCCACTGCGGGTGGATCACCTGAGGCTAGGAGTTCAACACCAGGCTGGCCAACATAGTGAAACATCATCTCTATTAAAAATACAAAAATTAATTGGGTGTGGTGACACACACCTGTAATCCCAGCTAATTGGGAGGCTGAGGCACGAGAATCACTTGAATCTGGGAGACAGTGGTTGCAGCAAGCTCAGATCATGCCACTATACTCCAGCCTGGGTGGCAGAGTGAGACTCTGTCTCAAAAAAAAAAAAAAAAAAAAAAGTTGGTGGTACAGCTATAGTTGATTGGTCTCTTTTCAACACTTTCTATAATTTCAAAACTAATTTTTTCATATTTTTTTCAAAATTTTCAACTTTAAGCTTAGTTTTCCTACTTTTGTTAGAATTTGAGAAGCAAAACAAAGCAAAAGATGCCTTCTTGTTGATGCAATGAAGATAACTAACTGCCCAGCATGAAGTGCAGATGTTTATCCAGCCAGAAGCACTTACCTGCACCTCCAGCTGAAGGAGAAGGAGGAGGAGAAGGAGGAGGGGCTGCCTGGCACAGGGAGGTGCTTTTAAAAGGCTGCAGCAGCTTCTCCAGGGCCTGTGCACTGTCTTCAGACGGTACCTTCCTCTTGGGGCTGCTGAAGAGGTCCCTGATATCCTTCCTTTGTCTGGATTCCTGGAGGAAACTCTCAAAGGATTTGTCTTTGAGTCTGAGGGAGGAAAAAAGTGAGATTCTTTTCTTTGGAGGCCTAGAAGCATCTGGGAAGGTCTCTTGCAAACTCACTTTCTCAAGGAGTGTAGGGACATCTTCAATCTTGCTGCACGGTGGGGACATGAGAGCAGGAAAGATCTTGGATGGCCGATTGGGCAAACTATGGGTGCGGAGGGCAGAGCCAGGAGGGCTAAGGGCTGAGGACTGGTTTCTCCCAGGGGAATGCTGGTCCCTGTCTTTATTGGAATTGGTTTTCCGAAGGCTGAATGAGCGAGTGCAGGTGGGTGTGGGCAAAGTTTTGAATTCTGGCTTGGCCCAGGCCCTCTTCCCACCTTCAGAGTTGGGAAGGAGGGGCTCTAGGGACCTCCGGATGGCATTGGCTATAAGCCGGAGAGGGGACCTAGGTGGAGGCACGCTTCGCTCCCCTCGAGCTTGTTCCGCGGGGGTCCCTGTCTCCTCCTGAGCCCCTCTCTGGGTTGGCAGAGGTTCTCTTGTCACCCCAGGGAGCAGCAAGGGGCGAACTGGCTTCAGCACCCGGGCTCCTCTACTATTCTCAGTACTCTTCTGGGAAAGTCGCTCCCCAGCTTTGAGGTGCACTCTCTCAGGGATGGAGTCATTCCAATCCAGCAACATGGTCTTCTGCTCCTGAGTGAGGACTAACTTCTTTAGGCCTGGCTTCTCCTTTGCCAGCACTGGTCCTCTCTCCTCTTCCTTCCTGGTTCCAGTATTCCCTTTTTCCTGGTCTTCTCCAGCCAAGGGAGACAGCTCTTGGCCTGGCAAGCACCTGTCCTTCCCCCAGATGGGGTGTGGGTCTCTGTGCTTGCTTCTGATGTCCCCAAGAGGGGCCTCTGCTGGCTGGCACTCATCAGAAATCATCTCTGCAGGGCCTGAGATGCCATCTTCACCAGGGCTCCCCAAGCAGTACTCTGCCCACTCTGGCTCTGGGTGATGAGGCAGATACAGGGGAATTTCCCTGGGTGCTCCTTGGGCTATGGCTCGCCTCCAAAAGGTTGGAGTGGGAGGACTTGGATGACCTCTTGAGACCTGTGAGAGGGGCTCAGAAGCTGTCAGCTAGAGGGGATGGACAAAATAGCAGTTACTTAAGTTTTCCACCATTTATTTATATGATGAAAGCAAATCTCAATCCACAACCCCCTCCCTTTTATTCTTTCCATCTCAGATGCTCAAATTCAAAAATAATTTTGCCTTAGATGATTTCAAAGGGATACTCTTTGTTCTAAGTAGCTGCCTTGCATCCTGCCAGGATCTGCATGGAACCCCTGAATCAGCATTGTTGAAAGGCTTTTCTGAATCCCAGGTTAGCTAGGATTCAGGAAGCCAGAGGGGAAGACAAAGGTAGGGCCCTGCTGTTGACAAGCTCCTGGGCCCATGAGGGCAGGGCTGGCTGGGCCTCTGTGGGTAACCAGGCACATAGGGAAAGACAAGCTCCTCCTTTTCTTGCTCAGCCATTGTCTCTACTAAAGGGCATGTTCCACGCATGGGTATGTGCCTCCAGCCACCAAGAAACCAAGGCTTCTTCCTTGGAGGCCATCAAAGTAAGAAGCAACAGTCACCCTCTGGGCTGAAGCTGTGGTGGCACAAGGATGGCCCTTAATACCTTCCCATGACCCTTTCTAACCTCCCTCCTTGCACCATTGAGAAAGTAGCTATTTCTAGAATGCAGGAACTTAGCCCTTGGCAAAGAGAGAATGTGCGTGGATTCTAGGGGTGGCTGTGGCCTCCCCAGAGCTCTGGTGCCTGAGGGGCAGGTCATAGCACCGGGGCTTCACCAGAGCACACATCTTTTCTGTCCCGTGCACTCTACTTTCAGAGCCTAGAACGGGCCTGACAGGTAACAAAGGCTTGATAAATACACACAGAAGGAAAGAGTCCAGCCTGCCTATCAATGATGACATTTTATATCCAAGGGAGGTGTTGCTTCTAAGGTTCTTGGACGCTACCAAAGGGACCCTCCCTTCTGTGTCTGCCATCCTACAGCTGAAAATTCCTCAATGCCCTCTGCAAATGCTCAAGGGAAAGGTGTCCTGGCAGCTCTGCATCCTATGGAGACATGGCATGGAGTCTAAACCCTGTAAAGTTTGCTGAGAGAGTAACTGCATCCTCAGAATGGCTGTAAAGGAGCAGCAGGAGCTTCTGTGAAAGGTACATGTGAGGACAGCTGGTGTAGACCTTTGACGGTGTGTCTTCTGTCCCTGGCTTTGCACTCAGGTTGACCTATGAGTACGTGGAATCCAGAGATAAGTGTGGAAGGTGGGAGGAGTACCTGTAGCTCAGCTTCCCAACAGCTGGGCAGGACCCTCAGGGACACTCACCTGGGGCAGGGAGGAACCATCCCCTGAAACACTGGTTGCAGAAGGTGGTGGGGAAGATGAATGAGAAGGCAGTGAAGGAAGAGGAGGAGAAGGAGAAAGGTCCTTTGGAGGTGACATAGTTCTTTTGTTCACTGGCATCAAACCTACCAAGGAAAAAACACACTCTTCATTACAAAGTGTTATTATTTTATCAAGAAAAGAGGAGACTTTAAGTGAAGCTCCAATTCTATAAACAGAAAGAGGAAGATGTCAGAGCCTGACTCAGAGGTTCCTGGTGCCGAGGCTTGGGACTCAGAGGAATGGGGAGGGCAGTGGCAGGGTCCCATGGGGCAAAGGAAGTCCCAGGGTGGGAAGTCTAAGCATCATTGTGTTTCAGACTCATGCGAGGATGCTCTTGAGAGATGTATCAGGGCATCTCCAGAGCATTTCTTAGAAATACGCATCTGCCTCCAAAGAGTGTCCTAAAACCAACGTGGTTAGGAGCTGGGCTGTGTTAAATCACTCAGTCAATAAACCACCTGAGCTTTCCTCCCACAAGATGTTGCACCCTTCGCTGTGGGAACAGACAGGACAGACATCCACGACTAAGGAGATAGACTCTTCCTCCTCACATGTGTGCCAAGTGGCTCTCAGACAGGAAGAGTCGTTTAAGATTTTAAGAGAACACAAGGGCAGGAGGTTACAGTGAGTATCAAATCATTTGAGGGATATGGAGTGGGGCCCATGCCAAGTTCCTGTTGGTCAGGGAACAAATGGGTTACAGTGTGGCAGCTCAGAGACGCAGGGGAAAGGTGCGGGGCAGGGGCCTGAGGACAGGCCTGATTCTGCCCTGTGAGGGGCTGAGATCATCTAGTCTGGTGAGAGCAGAATTCTGACAGTTGTACACTGTAAGATCAACCAAGCTCACATGCATTCTCTCTTTCTCTCCCTCTCCCCTCCTTTTCCCTCTCTCCCCTTCCTCCTCTCAAACATGGTAATTTAAATCTAAAATCTCAAACATTTTGTCTCCATATTGGATCATTTCAGACCACTTGTCCTCAAATCATTTCTGTCAAATGCCATGCACCCTTTCAGATATGCCCTTTCGGTACCTAGCCTGAGCCCAACCAGCTCTCCCCAGAACCGTGGTGGCACGTAGGGCGGTCCCCCAGAAACTTCCCAGGACCACCACGTGGAAGGAGCCCACTCTCTTGTCTGACTCTCTGCTTCTGGCCGCTCAGCTGACCCATTCAAATTTTCCTCCAGGGTGTCTAGCCTTCAGATTTTCAACCGCTTCTTAGCGTAACACAAGCCCCTGGTCTCAGTTTCCCCAAAGCTTTGGGTGGTGAGCTCTTCCTCAGGGACCCACACAGGTCGGCCAAAACCATCCCACTGAGTCCCCTCCACGCCGGGGGCCAAACTCTTCTGGATATCCTGTCCTGCCTTCCCCCACACACCAACGCGAACGTGTGCGACCGTGTGTCCCAGCCTGGGGCTCTGAACACATAGCACCACATGCCCACGCACGGTCAGCAAGCTCCCAGAGGGAGGCCTCGCAGAACGCTTGCGGGGGGTGGGGGAAGGTAATTCCAGGAACAGACATGATCTGAGGGCGGCAGGAAGGAGCTGCCAGGGAGGCGGCTGGCCAGCCTCCCGCTACCCCCATCGCAGCCCGGGATGAGAAGGTTCCAGCCTAAAAAGGCAAAAGTTGTGAGTCAGTCGTTGTCTCGCTTCCCATCCTCATCCTCAGCTTGCCAAATTCCTGCCAAATTCCTTCTTCCCTTCCTCCTTGCACCCTCCTTCTCCTCTCTCTGCTGTCTTCCGAATCAAACCCCTTCACTTGCCTCCTCTCCCATCAGCTCAACAGACTGCCTTTTTGTTCCCCTGAGGATCCCTCAGGGAACCTCCTGACAGGAAGCCAGGACCACCTCGGGAACCAAGCCTGACAGAAACGCCTCAGGGCTCACAAGGTCATGACCCGGAAGCTGTTCCCTTCTTCTCCTCGCCCTCATCCCCACTCCCACCCCCACTAGGGAGTCCCTCTCTCCACACGTGGTCCTCACGCACTGCCTTCAAGATGGAACTCCAGCAGGGCTTGAGGAGATTGGGGAAGCAAAGCTCCAGCTCAAGCCAAGCCTCTGGTCCCTGAGCTGCCATTCAAGCCACTGCTTGGGAGTTGGGCACAGCCTGGGGAGGGAGGTAATGGGAAACCTCTCCGACCCGACGCCCACTGTGTCTTTGGGTTCTCTCAGAAGTTGGTGAAGGGGAGCCTGGAACTCCACCTCCTCACACACACACCAGCTGCCTGGCTCTGAACAAGTTACTCAACCCCTCAGTCTCCTCATCCAAAAAGTGGGCAGTCTGGTGCAGCTTCATGGGGTGGCTGAGTGGGTAACATGGGCTAAAAAGAGATGCCCAGTTGGCCGGGCGCAGTGGCTCACACCTGTAATCGCAGCACTTTGGGAGGCTGAGGTGGGCCGATGACTTGAGTTCAGGAATTCAAGACGAGCCTGACAAACATGGCAAAACCCCGTTTTTGCCAAAATTACAAAAATTAGCCGGGTGTGGTAGTGCACGCCTGTGGTCCCAGCTACTTGAGAGGCTGAGGTGGGAGAATCTCTTGAACCTAGGAGTTGGAGGTTGCAGTGAGCCGAGATCACACCACTGCACTCCAGTCTGGGTGACAGAGTGAGACCCCATCTCAAGGAAAACTAAAATAAAAAATCAGAGGTGCCCAGTGGGGCAGGACACAAAGTAAAAGCTAGTTCTCGGCAAAATATGAACTCCATTAGCTTCCCATCCTCTCATGCACACAAGCCGTGTCCAGTGAAGACACCACGCCCTGGCCCACTCCAGAGGGGGCTGCACACTCTCCCCAGTCAGGATTTTTCTAACTCTTGGGCCGGGAGCTCCTCATTGGCTAACTCACATCCCCCACTGCTGGCCGTTTCCCTGAAACCTACACATGGCCCACAGGGGCTGCCCTGCCCTCTGCAGGGTCTCAGTCACGCGTGCTGCTGGCCCTATGGCTGCTTTGCCTGAAGGATGCCGAGGTTCAGCACCCAGACTGCCTCTGGGTCAGGCGCTGGCACAGCCTCCTCTCTGGGACCTCTGGCAGCAGCAACCTTTCCCCTAGATCCTACAGGTCATCTGCCAGCATGATCAGCTGGGGAGGGTGCCTAGGGCAGCCGCATAGCTCCTCCGGTCGTCCCACTGGGGCTTGGAGCCAGAACCAGCTGAGATGGGGCAGTCATGCCTCGACAGGAGGGATGGTACCACACATCCTGCTTCCAATGGCAAGGCCAGCCCTGCCTCCTGGGGTTTCCTTTTGGGCAAAATGAAGACAATCAAAAAGATGGCTCTGGTGGCTTTCAGCTCCAGGGATTTTCATGAGACTGGGACTCCAGGGTGCAGCTTCCCAGAGCTTGGAGGTTTTGCGAGGCTCAAATCCCTCTCAAAGTCTTGGAGCGTCCTCTAGGGGTGGCAGCCTGAGCAGGCCTGAGCCCACGTGCTCCCTTTGCACTCAGTCCAGCCAGCTTGCTCCTTGGCTCCTTCCTGCCTTCATTGATTCGGCAAACAAGGACTGGGTTCCTTCTCTGGGCCAGACCATAATAGACACTAGGCTGATTGAAATGATCAAAACTCAAACACTGCCCTCAAACCAGCTTTCATATGACCTTGAGAAACACTGTGCAATACTCTTTGATAACTAAAGGCTGAGGTCCCCAGGTCATCCCAGACACCGTGGGGCTGTTCAGCAGTCCTCTTGTTGCGGCGCCTCCCCCAGCAACCCAGCCCTACTGGGGAGCAGGGGTCTCCCAGCAGCCTCCCTGCTCTCACCCCAGGCTGAGAGCTCCTCGAGGAGGGACTGAGCCCCCACACCGGCAGCACACAGTAGGCTGGCAGCCTTGGGATGGACTCTGCACCCACACAGTCTGGGCTCGGGCAGCAGGGTTCCAGGGACTTGGGGAACACTGGAGCAGGGCAGTAAAGGTGATGACCAATGTGTGGCAATGTTAGCTCCTCTGCCTCTGCTGTCACTGCTTGGGGCTGTCAGAGGATTCAGGAGTCACTCTGGGCTGTCCCCAGATGAAGTGGCCTGCCCAAGAGTGCAGCCGTGGGTCCTGTTCCCAAGGTGTCCATGTCCCAGCCTGACCCAGTGGGAGGGTGGTGGGTCTGGGGATGGTGGGGGAGTGACTCACTGGCTGGGAGTCCTGACTCAGAAGGAAAGAAGACCAGGGCTCAGTTCCAATTGCAGCAACATTTCTTGGTAGAAACCCCTGTCTAAGCCAAGGCCTTCCTGGGTCCTCCTCTCCTAGGGTGAGGCTGGAGAGGGAGTGAGTGTCAGGGTAGGTGGAAGGCAGCAATGAGCCTGGAATTGGATGAAGAATCTCTGGCCCTCGCTCAGGGCCTGGGGAGGGAACTCTGCTAAGTGTTGCAGCGCCTGGATCGCGGGCCTGCTGACACGGTGAGCCTGTGTGGTCACTGCGCCCCCTGGTGGGGCCTGCTGCCTCGGCACCTGCTGCAGCCCAGCTATTCCCCAGGGTGCTGGGACCAAGGCTGGCTCAGAAAAAGGAGCTGGGGTGTGTAGGTGTAGGGGTGTGTGTGTGTGTGCGCGCATATGTGTGTATTTGTAGAGGTGTGTGTGGATGTATGGGTGTGTGTATAGCATCCTGCTTTGCGTGAGGCTGTTAATCTGACGCTCTAGTCTCACCCCAGCATACAGAATCAAATCACAGAGCTTGTGAACCATGGCTCACTTATCTGTATTTTAAAAACTTAGAGGCAATGATGGCTAAGACCCTATCTAGGTGAAACTGTAGAATCCTAAAGCTCCATAATTCCTGAGCCGGGGGTGGAGTGGGATGGGAAGATCTTGAGTCCTTTGGAAAAGGCTCCCTCTAGTCAGCAGTAGAAATAAAATCAACGTTATATTTTATTTCTTGCCTCTGACAACCAGGAGGCCATGCCAGAGAGATACCATGTAACAAATGAGAACAGCTGCCCCTGAGAATTAACCAGAGATCTCTGCCCAGCCCCAGCCTCCCACCCCCAGAGAGCTGGTGACTCACTTGACCGGAATTCTCTCCTCCAGTTCTGGTATTTGCTTGGGGTTGGAGACTGGAAGCTATTGGCCCGTTGCAGAGCTGCTGTGGAAAAAGAAAGGGGCAGGGAAGATGGGGCCGGAGCAAGAGTCCATTAAAAGTGTAGAGTAGGTAGGAATTTATCTCCTATGGCTCATTTACCACAGGTTAATAGACTAATGATCGTAATCGACTGAACCCTCTCCTTCCCTCACACTGTGCTCCTACCCTCACAACACACACTGCCAAACTTTTTATTTGTCCACACATCAAATATTTTTGTGTGTGTTTCCGTTTGTTTGTCACCCAGGCTGGAGTGTAGTGGTGAGGGTCACGGCTCACCGCAGCCTCGACCTCTTGGGCTCAAATGATCCTCCTACCTCAGCCTCCCAAGTAACTGGAACTATAGGCACATACCACCACAAGCAGCTAATTTTTTAATTTTTATTTTTTGTAGAGATAGGGTCCCACTGTATTGCCCCGGGTAGTCTCAAACTCCTGGGCTCAACTGATCCTCACACCTCAACCCCGCAAAGTGCTGGGATTACAGGCATGAGCTACCACGCCTGGCATCAAATATTTATTGAGACCCTGCTATGGGACAGGCACTGCCCTCAGAGAATGCCTCAGACTAGGAACTATCATCACTAAGATCATCAGTAAGCATCCACATGCATATATGCATACGTATAGACATATTTACACACACATCTGTATAGACACACATGCATATATTCATTCATGTCAGAACAGTGGTTTAAAGCTGAGGCCTCACATCAAGACTCCATATATGTAATACATAAAAACTGGGGCTGCTCTGATTGAAGCTAGGAAGCTGCAGGAAGTTCTACTCTCTGCCTCCCCTTTTCCCACAGAGCCCCCCAAACCCTCTAGAAACCAGGTTTAACTGAGGCTGTGGACCATGATTGCTGTGGCCCTCCCTTGGCCTGGTTCCAAGGGAAACATATTTCTGGGACACTGTACTTCCTGTGGAAGACCCTTCTGCCAGCTGGGCCTTGAGGATTAGCTGAGCAAAAGGAACATCACACATGCAGAAGAAAAACAGGTCTTGGGCTCTTAGACCTGTGTGAGAGTGGGCAGTGGGGTCCACATGTTCCCTGTTCTCAGGCAAGGCCTGCAGATGCATTCTCAGGCTCCAGGCCCCTGTGCCTCCATCACAGCTGGAGAGGAAGGATGGGGACAGTGAAGGTCTGAGTGTGCGCACAGGCAGGGCTAGGAAGCATCAATGGAGAGGAAGTCCAAGGGCATGATGTGGGGTGGGAGATGGAGGCAGCAATGGTCTGAGTCCAGGACTCTAAATCCAAGGCCTGGTAGCCCAGCCCTCTGTCTTTCTTTCTGTCTAGGCACAGTGCTAGCTATTCCACTCCCTGCCCGGCCTCACAGTGGGGCTCCTTCTTAGCAGCCAGGCTGTGGAGGACAGGTGTCAACCACTACCTGGGGGCTTACTTTCCTCAAGACCAGATCCTTTATAGCTCCTCTACCTCCCTCACTCCACGTGTGAAACTGCCTTTGCAAAATTATAACTGAGAAAATTATGACAGTGAAAGAAATCTGACCTAACCGATCGATCTTGCTTCTAACCTCCAAGCTGCCTTTGTTCATTCCTGGGCGAAGGCGGAACTAACTTTGGGAGAAACTTAGTTTATAGTTTAGTTTGGAAATAAAGACGATAACAGCCCTCTCCCCAAACAAATCCCCTTCCTGCCTGGGAATGAGACTGCCTTTGCAGGACTAACAAATTCACCACAAGATTAGAAATTGTGGTTTAGGAGTCATGCAGCTGGAGGCTGTAAGATTCGGGACCTCCCCAAATTGCATCCTGGGGCTAACATTGCTATTGTAAAGCCTAAGAGCAGGGCTTGAGATATTTTGCAGACCCTGCACTCAGAGGATCAGCCGGCACCACTCAGACTGATAAACTGGCTCATCTGGTCTTTTAGCCCCACTCAGGAACTGACTCAGCACAAGAGGACAGCTGGGACTCTGTGATTTCATCTCTGACCTGACCAATCAGCATCCTCTGTTTTCTGAACGCCCTACTCACCAAATTATCTTTAAAAACCCTGATCCCCAAGTTTTCAGGGAGACTGATTTAAGTAATAATAAAACTGTGGTCTCCCATACAGTGACTATGTGTAAATTAAACTCTTTGTCTATTGCAATTCCCCTGTCTTGATAAATCAGATCAGTCTAGGCAGCAGGCAAGGAGAACCCACTGGGTGGTTACATTTGGAGATGCTTCATGCCTGCTCTGCCTGGCAGGTTCCCAATGCCACAGGCCTGCTCTTAAAATCAAGTCCATGGGTTTGAGGAGGAGCCTGTGTGGATGAGCACACAGCTACATCCTGCGGGCCAAAGCTAGCCTCTTAATCTCTTAATGAAAACATTTCTCAAAATAATAATTTTTAAAAACCTGCATAAAGCTCTCATTGCTTATTAGCTTGTAACTTGGTGGAATGGAACTTATTGGAAGTGGCTAAAATTCATGAGCGATTTTCCATCACTGGTGTTACTAGAGTACACATTTTTACCACAGTGGGAACAACAGGGTGGGTGGTAATGATTTCCTCTAGTAATGTTGAGCAGCATAGAGGGGGCTGATCCCTTCTTTTTAGCTTATATTCGATGTGAGTTTATTTATGTTAAAGGAGCACTTTCAGAGATCTTAGTGCCTGACCCACTGTAAAAGGAGTCAGAGGGTATTTTGCCACGTGGTGCTGATGATATCATTTTACTGTTACAAACTGATAAGTGTCCTCCATATGCCATTGGACCATCCTGTTATCAAATTATGGCCAGAAAAAAGATGGATGAATACCAGTTCCTCTAAGTCAGGATAATTTGGGGGCAGGCTGTTCTCCTAAATCTAACTGGTATACAGCCAAGAGTCCAATGCACTAGATCAATTCATTTAGCTGCTTGGGCATGGATTTTACAATGAATTCATCTAGGCAGGCCTTCCACAAAGCTGCATTTCTGATTCCCAAAGTGTAGAACATGGCCTACTGTGTCAAAGCGCCTGGGGATGCTTGCACAAAATGCACGTACTTGGCCCCATGCCACACGCACTGCATCCGAATCTCTGAAAACCTGGGAATCTGCCTCTTAAACAAGATTGTCAAGAACCATTGACACCGATGTTTTGAGGCTTTCTGCAGCCTCCACAACATAGGGTGTGAGCTTACTTCAGGCATCCTCTTGGGCATGCTCTATGAACTCTGAGGATGTAATAGGTTCCTTCATGTGCCAGGGTAGTCCCAGGAGTCTTTTTAAAAATTGTGGCAAAATATGCATAATATAAAAATTGTTACTTGTACATTTTTAAGTCTAGACTTCAGTGACATTGAGTACTCTGACCCTGGTGTGCAGCCGTCACCACCTCCCCACCTCCCATCTTCAGAACCCTCTCCTCATCTCAACAAATGCTTGTTTTTTTAGGACTGGCTTAGTTCCCTCAGCATCATGCTTTGAAGGTTCATGTAAATTGTAGCGTGTGTCAGAGTCCTTTCCTTTTAAAGTCTGAATAACATTTTGCTGTATGGATATACTATGTTTTGTGTATCCGTTTGTCTGTCAGACATTGATTTGCTTCCCCGTTTTGGCCAATGTGAATAATGCTTCTACGAGCATGGCTGGACCAACCTGGAGTCTTTTTAACTCCACACTGAAACCAGGAGTCTTTTCAAAGCAATATACTGGTCTTGTCTGGCATCCCCTTGATTTACCTTGGAGGCCTTTATCCAGCTGACACTTGTGGTTAATGAAGTTCCATTAAACCCACTCAAGGGGTCAACCCTGCATTATCAGGTGAAGTGATGGGGTTACCATAACGAGCAACACAAACACAGCACTTAGACCTGGGCCAGAGAGCTCAGCCACACATGTGGTCCACCTAGCAATGATCAAGACCACGACTGATGAAGACTAACTCGACAAAGAATTGTTTGAGAGCACACAGGTCTACCCACTTCTCTGTCTACTCTGTATTTTGTTCTGGAGTTAAACTGGACTGTCAGAAACAAAATGCTTTGGCCTCACTACCCAACCCAACCCAACTAGACTTTCAATCCAACCCTATCCTGCTAAGAAAACTGCGATCGCTGAGTCATGTTTTGTTGTCATTCCCTCACCTTCCAGCAAGGGATGCTGTAAGGAACAGCCTGGAGAAAACTAGGGCTGCATTTTCTGAGAAACTGTGAAGACACGATCTAACCCATTTCTCAATATCATCTATTCAGCACAAGCCGGAAACTCTCTATAGAGTTAAGCATTAGGAGAAATTGTGCCTGCTCAGAGACCTGCTGCAAACCAATACACATTTTTCTCATGCACGATGAGAATAATGATGTTCTGCGTTTCCTTTTTAACGCTAGAAGACAGAAAGCTCAGAAGCAAACTTACGATTCAACTAGAGCAACTGTTCAGGACTATGGTCTGCCTCTCTGAGGTCTATCCCTCCCAAACTGGTTTTGCTAGCCCTGATTTTGAGGTTTAATCTTTCATGTTTATAGAGGTACAATTTTGTTTTATGTTTCTCTTATAAGTTGCCTAAAACCTTCTGGCAATTGAATGGGAAATGGAGAGAAGGGATGAAAAATAGCCTGATTTCGTATCTAGAAATGGGGAGCTGGAGCCCAGGGGGATGGAAGGGTACACCAAGGCCACGTGGTAACTGGAGGCAGGGCTGGACCCAGCTGGGCACAGGAGAGTACTTGGTTCAGTGCCAGTGCTGAGACTTTCTGCACAGCCCCGCAAATGGTACTCAACAAATGTGTTTGGATAATAATCTGTCCTTCTTTTTAAAGTATCACTTTAAAAAGAAATATGAGGGCAAAATTCAACGTTTCCAGGATTTAAAAATACCTATTGAGTTCTTCCTGCCCCAGCCCTGGTCTTGGGAATCCATCACTCCTGGGAACATTTCATGGACCAGGTGGCAATTCTGCTCTTGGCCACCAGATGGCGGTGCAGGACAAGTTGAGCTCCAGCTCTCCCAGGGCAGCTAAGGCTGTGAGGCAGGCCAGTGGGCAGCAAGTTACTGTCAGGTTAGCCTGTTTCTTCCCAGGCTCGCCCAGAAGTTGCCCATAAGTCAGAAGATTTGGTCCCAAGTTGTTGACTGAATCAAAACACCCAATTCCAGGTCACCTTTGTATTAAACGCAAGCTGGGCTGCTAAGTAGGCCAGAGCTTGGGCGGTAGTGGCTGTGGGGTGTCACCAGCCCTGGCTAAGACTTTGACAGAGCACTCAGCCTGTTTGCTCACCTGTGGAACAGGCTTCACCCTACTTACCCACAGGGTCATCCTGGGATGGGATGGGGCCACGTATGGGAAAAGTCCTGGCCCATTACAGGTATGCAGTAAAAGTGCATTCATTGTTGTGTAGAATTGTTTGGGTCCATCCCACATGCCCCAAACACCAGAAATGGCCCCAGTGCTGTCAGACGGTCCCAAGGAGACAATGCCATCTAGGGTCACATGCTGCCAGACAGCAACCGGACCCAGCTCCCTTCCCTCAGGGGCTGTGGGTGCTGGAGGGGCCCCTAAGGAGATGTCCACACAGGAGGCAGGAGGGAGAGCGCTCCAGGCAAGAGGAAGCTGTGGGCCCCTTATCCCTGGCAGCCTGTGACATACCACAGCCTGCCAGGCCCCGTGACATCCTCCCTGCTGGGATTCCAAAGCTTTCATGGAGTGGGAAGCCAGGCCTGGGTCCAGTCCCCTCACTATCACTTGCCTCACTCTCCCCAAAGGTCCTAGCCCCACTGCCTTTGAGCCTGAGGGCGAGGCCTTCTGTCACCTGGTCCTCCATGAGGGAAATTCGTCTGTGAGGGTCTCTGCTCCCTCCCCGCGTCCCAGAATCAAGCCCTGCGGGCTCTCTGCTCACCGTGCACAGCTCTGGGCTCCTCAGGGCACTGTGGAGAGACCGCCCTGCTCAGGGCCCTCCTCAGGGAGGCGTGCGGTAGAGACAAGGGTGCTGACCAGGGTTTCTCTTCACAGGGCTCTGGGCGGGAGGGCTCGCAGCCACCACAGTCAGACTCTGTGTCAGAGCTAGAAGGAGGAAGGAGCGGGTGGGTGAGTCGGGGCCCTGGAACCCACACTCTAAGACACCAACACTACCCAGCACTCCTCCAGTGCACCTGGGGGGCCTGGGCTTAGTCCTGTGTGCCCAGAGCCCAGCTGTGGACTTTGCTGTGGGTTGAATTGTTTCCTGAAAACTCATATGCTGAAGTCCTAACCCCAAGTACCTTCAGATGTGACTGCATCTAGAGATAAGGCCTTGAAGGAGGTCATTAAGGTACAGTGAGGTCATTAGGTGGGCCCTTGTCCAGCACACCTGATATCTTTGTAAGAGGAGGAAATGTGGACACCGACACACACAGAAGGAAAACACTATGCGAACAGGAAGACGTCATTGACAAGCTCAAGAGGGAGGGTGGAACCCACCTTCCCTCAAGCCCTGCCCACACCTTGACCTCGGACTTCCAGCCTCCCAATCAGTGAGAAAATACATTTCTGTTGTTTAAACAGCCTGATCTGTGGAGCTTTGTTATGGCAGCCAGAGCTGAACAACACAGGCTTGGCTCAGAGCAAAAGAAAGGGGCCCAGCAGTGTGTGAGGAGCTGTTTGAATGAAGACTGCTCTGCTCACCTGCACCTGTCCGGGCATGAGCCCTAAGGTCTCTCTGGCCAGGTAAGCTCATCATTAGGGACTTGGTCCTGAAACTTCAGGCATTTAAATACTGCTCTCTTCCTCATGGAATGGATGAAAGAACGGAAAATTCTACCTGAGTAGGGGTAGGGGGTGGGTAGTATTTAACATGGGCCTTAAATAACTGGTAGGGATTCAATTATCTATAGGAAGATATTCATACTCTGGAAGCAACTCATCAGAGCCCAGGGCTTTAATAGCCTCTAAAATCACCATCTCCGGCCCTGCCTCCCAGAACTTCACACTTACATATTTGACTGCTTACCTGACATCCACACAGACACCGGCATCTCAAACCCAATGCGTCCCAAACAGAACTCTTGATTTTCTCCACTAACCTGCACCTTCTCTGAAATCTTCCCCACCTCAAGATAACTTTAGAAATGACCATACCAGCCATTCAGTCACTCTAGAAAAATTCTGGGAATTGCCCTGAAATTCTCTTTCCCTCTCATGCAGTCCACTAGCAAATCCATCTCCACTGGCCCCACCTCCTGTCCCCAAGCTGCGGACTCCCACCTGCTCTTCCTGTGTATTCATCCTCACACAACCCTGCCTCATCCATTTCCCAAAGCAGGGTCTGCTGATGTGTGATAACTGTAAATGAGATGTCACTCTTCTACTTAAAAATCCTTGGAATTACAGTCATGTCTTTCATAATGACGTTTTAGTCAGCGATATAACCCATATATGATGGTGGTCCCATCAGATTACAATGGAGTGGAAAATTCCTATCACCTGTGATGTCGCAGCCCTCGCTAACATCGTAGGGAAAGGCATCACTCACATGTTTGAGGTGATGCTGGTGTAAAACCTACAGCACTGCCCCCAGTTAAAAAGTAAAGAATAAATGCATAAATTTAAAAATAGAAAAAAGCTTACAGAATAAGGATATAAAGAAAAAATATTTTTCCAGCTATTCAATGTGTGTTTTTTGCTGTGTTATTACAATAGAGTTAAAAAGTTTAGAAAGTAACAAAGTTATAGTAAGTCAATTTATTATTGAAGAAAGAGAAATATTTTTCAAATAAGTGTAGGATATTCTAAGTGCACAGTGGGATAAAGTATACAGCAGTGTACAGTGACGTCCCGGCCTTCACATTCACTCACCACTTACCCACCCACCCACAGCAACTTCTAGTCCTGTGAGCTCTGTTCACAGTAAGTGCCCTATACAGGTGTGCCCTTTTTTTAATATATTATATTGTGTTTTTACCATACCTTTTCTATGTTTAGATACGTTTAGATTCACAAATACTAACCATTGTGTTACAATTGCTGATAGTATTCAGTACGGTAATGCACGGTACAGGTTTGTAGTCTGGGAGTAATAGGCCGCACCATACAGCCTGGGTGTGGAGGGAGCTATCCCATCTAGGTTTGCGTAAGTACCCTCTATGATGTTCACATAATGGCAGAATCACCTCATAACACATTTCTTAGAACACATCTCGACTCTTAAGCAATGCGTACCTGAATACCTAGAATACAGTTTATCCTGTCTTACAAGCCTGGCTCCTGCCTTCCTTCCTCGTGTACTCCCTTATCCTTCTCCCCCTCAGGGTGTACCTGCCTCGCAGATCTTCTCTACCTCTGAGACAGGCTCACTCTCACCCTGGGGCCTGTCACTCACTGTCGTCACTTCCTGCATTCCCCTCCTCCCTTGGGTGTTCCTTCTTGTCAACCAATTCTCAGCTTAAATGTCACCTCCTGTCAGGCGCTGTGGCTCACATCTGTAATACCAGCACTTTGGAAGGCTGAGATGAGTGGATCATGAGGTCAGGAGTTCAACACCAGCCTGGCCAAGATGGTGAAACCTGTCTCCACTAAAAATACAAAAATTAGCCAGGTGTGGTGGTGGGTGCCTATAATCCCAGCTACTTGGGAGGCTGAGGCAGGGAATTGCTTGAACCCAGGAGACGGAGGTTCCAGCGAGCTGAGACCGTGTCACCACACTCCAGGCTGGGTGGCAGAGCGAGACTCTGTCTCAAAAAAGTCACTTCCTCTGGGAGACTGTGGGAATTTGTCTGCAAAGGTGGTTGCAATCATTCCCCTTGGATCCACACCCCTTTGCAATGGGGGCTTTGCAGCTCTTTCCCTAAAGAGTGCAGGCTATTCCCCACCTTTTGAATCTGTTCAGGCCTTGTGACATGCTGTAGCCAATCAGGTGCAACAGGAATAGCACTGTGCATTGCCAAGCCTCGACCTCAGGAGATCTTGGATGGCTCCCCTCTTTCTCTTAAGGCCATGGGAATAAGCCTGGGCTGCTGGTTGGAGGATGAAAGACCCACGGCCCAATAGCCCTCTGTCACCCCAGCTGACGGTCAGGCTCCAAAGCAGAACCCTGCTGGCCCAAACACACAGGTGAGCCCAGGAAGGCCAGACCTGCCCAGCCGTGCCTGGCTTACTTGGTCAGGCTTGGCTTACCCTGGTCTGCTTTATTACACAATCATGGTGTAATGAAGGGTGGTTGGTTTAAGTCACTCACTTTGGGGCTGGTTTGTCACTCAGCATTATTGCCGGCATCAATAACTGCTGCAGAGGCCTTTTCCCGGCCTCAGTCTAAGGCAGCTGACCAGCCACTCCATAGCAAGTGTCTGTTTTATCTCTCGACCTGACGCATATGTGATGCTTTTCTTGTTTAGCTACTCACTTGCTTCCTCGGTGGCTCCCAATGTTACGAAAGCCATGGGAAAGCAAGGAGCTTGTCTTGTGCTGTTCACTTCTGTATCCTCAGAGTCTAGTATGTAATAAGCAATCAATACCTCCTGTTGACATACCTCTTGAGTGAATTCAGTGCATCTGGGGGAGTCCTGGAGTCTGCATGTCTAATAACCACGCCAGGTGATTCTGATGCAGGTGATGAGGACACTGCTCTGAGAAATAGTCACCTACAGCACCAGGGCTTCACTCCTCATGTCCCCCACTCTGCCTCCTAGCCTGCCCAGCCCCATGCATCACCATCTTGCAGTGGGCAGGCCCTAGGGGCAGGTGACACCCATTCTGCAGCCCTCACTGCAATCAGCATGACAACTGCCTCCTGAGAAGAGCATGGGTCCAGGCCCTTTCCCTTCCTGAGAAAATAACAATTGCTAACACTTACAGTGCTAATGATGTGTGGGCACTGTTCTATACACTTAATACATATGAATTCTGTGAATCTTACAACTCCCTCTGAGATGGGTACTATGATTGTCCCCATTTCACAGATGAGGAAATGGAGGCACAGAGAGGCCACACTGCAAGTGAGTAGAGAGAAGACCCAATCCCAAATGCCATTTCCTTCCTCCAACCCCAGTTCTGTCCCCATCTGGCAGTAGCCTAAGCATACCTGCTGTCCTCGCTGGTGACCAGGACACGCACAGCCAGCACATCCTGTCCAGCTGCATCCTCCCCAGGGCTGATCCTCACCGAGGTCCACTCGGAGGGCAGGGGAGAGGCGGTGTCTCCTTCCAAATCACTGTGCTGTGGCTCAGAGATGCTCTTCGGCTTCTTGGGGGAGGTGGGCTCATCTGCTGAGAGGAGAGCAGGGTCTAGAGAGATGGTGCGAATGAATGGCCTGGCAGGACTCCTCCAGGGGCTCAGAGCCCCTGCAGGTCTGGCTTCTATTCAGACCCTCCAAAGCTGGCCCTGTCCTCTGTGCCATTGCTGGGACCCTCACCCCCGAGCCCACCAGAAGCCCAGGCATTCAGGGCACGCCTCCTACATGCAAGGCATGAATGCACAGATCATCCCACTTAATCCACAGGGAAGGTCCTGAAATGCTCAGAGGGCCCATTCTGGGCTAACCAGCCTCTGAGCTGTTGCTGTCAAGATGGCAACGTCCAACATGTTGCTAAATCCAGGGGTAACATCACAGTTCTCATCTTATTTGACTATGTGACACAGCGGCAGCATTTGACCCAGCTGGTCACTCCCTTGTGGAAACAGCTCTCAGCCTCTAGGATGGCATGGCCTGCCCAGCCCCCCAGCCCCTACTTCACCGGCCAGCTCCTTCAATTCCTCTACTGATTCCATCCTCTCCCCTTGACCTTGTAACACTGAGAGATGCCAGGGCTCAGTCTCTGAACCTCTTTTCTTCTCTGTCTGCACTCACGCTCCTGATGCTCCCATCTGGTCTCATGGCTTTAAATAACCCTAGACAACAATGACTCCCAGATCTCTATCTCCAGCCTGGACACACCCGACTCTAGACTTCTAGAGACCACTGCTCACTTGCCTCTCTATCCAGGTGTCTAACAGACATGTCAAACTCAACATGTCCGAAGGGAGTTCTTCATCTTCTCCCCTCACCCAGCATGTCCTGCCCACAGCCTTCCCCCTTTCAGTAAATGGCAAATTTGGCTTCCTGGGACTGCAGCCAACACCTCACCAGCACCTTAGACTGCTCTTGTTCTTTCATTCTTCATTCAAGCCATTGGCAAATCCTGATGGGTCTGCCCTCAAAACATGTCAGGAATCCAGACCCCTCTCACCACCTTCCTACCCCTGGTCCGGGCACCATCGTTTGTTGCTTGGATCATAGAAACGGCCTCTGCCCGGCCTCCATCCCTGCCCTCTTGCTGTGCTGCACCCCTCAGTCTATTCTCAACACAGCAGCCAGGGTGACCCCATTAAAACCCGAGTGAGATCATGCCGCCCCTCTGCTCAAAATCCCCCAACGGCCCCTCATTCACTCAGAGTGGAAGCTGAAGCCCTTACCAAGGCCTGAAAGGTCCAACATAATATAGTCCCCAGTGCATCCTGTGACCTTGTCCCCTAGCACTGGCCCCAGGCTGGCTCTGCCCTACCCATGGCACCTCCTTGGTGCTCCTCCCATACTCTGGGCACACGCCCTTCTCGGATCCCTTGTGCTGCTCTTGCTTCTGCCTGTAAGGTGTTATTCCCAGACGTTCCCCTGCAGGCCTCACTCACTCAGTGGCTGTCTTCAGGTCCTTGGTTGAACGTCACCTGCCCTGACCGTCCTATTTAAAATTGCAGCCCACGGCCTCAGTGCTCTCCACTCCCCATGATTTTTATTCATGGTGTTTCTCAGCCTCCGATGAACTATACAATTTTCTTTTTCATTTTGTTTATTGTCTCTTCTATGACTAGAATGTAAGCAGTGATTTTTGTCTGTTTCATTTGTTGCTAGGGTGGTCCCTGGCGAAGGGTAGGCGTTCAGTGAGTGTCCGCTGAATGAGTTCATGAATGAATGCACCCAGCTCTGTCTTGACCACTAACTAGCTGGGTGACTGCATCTCCCGGGACAGTGTCCAGAGAACAGATGTCACTTTTCCTTCCTAAGGCGGAGCCTTCACCTGAACTTGGCTCCCTCTCACTTCCGTCCTCCCTCTCTGCAGCATCATTCTTGTGTTCTCTTTTGACTACTGAACCTCTCCTGTCTGTATTTAAATAGGCTGAAAGCCTCCTGTTTTACAAAAACTCCTTTTAATCCCAGTCCTCACTCCCAGCCCCAGCCTACTCTTTCTTCTTCCTTCCCAGCCAAGCTTCCTGGAAGGCTTGGCTACACTCTTCTCTCTCTCCTCTTCTTTATCAACCCCCATTCCTATAATCATGCCTGTGCCTCCCCAATTGCCCCCAGCACAGTCCGCAGTGGCCTCCTTGTTTCTAAGTCCAATTCACAGGACGTTGGGGATCCTCCTGCAGTCCTTGAGCCTGCCCCCTCCCTGCTCCCGGGGACATTTTCTCTCTGCCATCCAGGATTCCAGCCAATCCTTCAACAACTGGGTTCTCCACCCATCCACCCTCTCAATTTTTACCCATGAATTCTCTCTGGGAGGTAGAATCTCTTCCCTAACTATATTTACCCCCTGTGAAGATGAACAAGACATTTTGATTTTTATGTGAAATACCTTGTCTTAAAATATCATATAGCTCAAAACAAAACATGTCTGCAGCAGACTGAGAAAGTGGGTTGCTAGTTTGTAGCCCCTGGTGTATGTAGATGCTTGCTGTGTACACGTGTCTGCACTTCTAAATGAGTGTAACTGGGGATAGAAGGCATTTGAGGAATATAATCAGATGCTTTGCTACATAATAATAATGACATGGCAATGGTGGTGGTGGTGGCAGCATTAGTCATAATAAAAGCAGTAGCAGCTCACTTTTATTGTGTGTGCAATATATACCAAGAATTTTTAGAGCATTTGATATGTATTAAATCTATTAAATCTCACACGATCCTCTCAGAAAAGCATTGTTGTTACCCCCATTTTCCTGCGGAGAAAACTCAAGCACAGGAAGAGATCCAAAATGGCCGAATAGGAACAGCTCTGGATTGCAGTTCCCAGTGAAAACACAGAGGGTGAGTAATCACTGCATTTCCAGACACATTTTTACTGCCCACAGACCAGGAGATTCCCGGGCGGAAAAGCACCACAAGTCGCCAGCATGGAAACAGCCGGCACAGTGGGTCTCCAGACAAAAATTCACACGAATCCGGGTGTCATTTCAACGGGTGACTGGAACGCCTAGGAGACAGAGTCACCTGTTTGACTGAAAAAAAGGGGACTGCAACAGGGAGCCAGGTGATCTAGCTTGGCCGGTCCCACCCACACAAAGACCAGCAATCTGAAATGCTCTGGATTGAGAGTTTCACAGCAAGCATAGCTGGACCAGGGAAGGTCCAGCTCTGTAGGGAGAAGGGCATCTGACATTACCAAGGCAGTCCACTACTACAGAGGCAGTCCGCCATTACTGAGACAGTCCACCACTACAGAGGCAGTCCGCCACTACAGAGGCAGTCCGCCACTACCGAGGCAGTCCGCCACTACAGAGGCAGTCCGCCATTACTGAGGCGGACCACCATAAAACCCTAGAAGAAAACCTAGGCAAAACCATTCAGGACATAGGCATAGGCAAGGACTTCATGACTAAAACACCAAAAGCATTGGCAATAAAAGCCAAAATAGACAAATGGGACCTAATTCAACTTCAGAGCTTCTGCAAAGCAAAAGAAACAATCATTGGAGTGAACCGGCAACCAACAGAATGGGAAAAAATGTTTGCAATCTACCTATCTGACAAAGGGCTAATATCCAGAATCTACAAAGAACTAAAACAGATTTACAAGAAAAAAACAAACAAACAAACCCATTCAAAAGTGGGCGAAGGATATGAACAGACACTTCTGAAAAGAAGACATACATGAGGCCAACAAACATATGAAAAAATGCTCATCATCACTGGTCATTAGAGAAATGCAAATCAAAACCACATTGAGATACCATCTCATGCCAGTTAGAATGGTGATCATTAAAAAATCTGGAGACAACAGATGCTGGAGAGGATGTGGAGAAATAGGAACACTTTTACACTGCTGGAGGGAGTGTGTAAATTAGTTCAACCATTGTGGAAGACAGTGTGGTGATTCCTCAAGGACCTAGAAATAGAAATTCCATTTGACTTAGCAATCCCATTACTGGGTATATATCCAAAGGATTATAAATCATTCTATTATAAGGACACATGCACATGAATGTTCATTGCAGCACTGTTTACAATAGCAAAGACCTGGAACCAACCCAAATGCCCATCGATGATAGACTGGACAGGGAAAATGTGGCACATATATACCATGGAATACTATGCAGCCATAAAAAATAATGAGTTCGTGTTCTTTGTAGGGACATGGAGGAAGCTGGAAACCATCATTCTCAGCAAACTGACACAAGAACAGAAAATCAAACACTGCATGTTCTCACTCATAGGTGGATGTTGAACAATCAGAACACATGGACACAGGGAGGGGAGCATCACACACTGAGGTCTGTTGGGGGGACTAAGGGGAGGAACTGCAGGGGGTGGGTGGGGAGTTGGGGAGGCATAACATGGGGAGAAATGCCAGATATAGGTGATGGGGATGAAGGCAGCACACCACATTGCCATGTATGTACCTATGCAACAATCCTGCATGTTCTTCACATGTACCCCAAAACCTAAAATGTAATTATATATATATATATAAACAAAAAGAAAACTCAAGCACAAAGAGGTTAAAACACCAGCACATGGTCATCTATTCTGTCAGAGGATGGGGGTCAGTCTGCGTGTCTGTGAACACAGAACGACGCATGGACACTGTTTTGCATGACCTCCGTGCTAGGAGTTTTGGCTGGAAAGCGCTCCTGGTTCTTCCCTGTAACAGAGTTGTGCTTTGTCCTGTGACTTTCCAGTCCTTCCCATTGGAATTGGTGGGTGTATAGCCCTGCCCCATGGATGTGAGGCTTGGTGGCAAAGCTTGCTTTGACCTGTGGCAACTTATGGATGGGACACGAGCAGAGGCTTTAAGTGGGCTTGCTGGTTGGCTGTCACTCATGCTCTTGCTAGGTTACCATGAAAAGAGCTTGTCCCAGGTGGCCACCACCCCTTCAGTCAGGGTCCCTGATGGAGGATGCATGGAACAGACCTGGAGTCCAACCCAGCCAATCCCAGGGGAGCCCCGCTCGCCCTTATACCTACAGCTTGAAGCCGAGCTACTCAGTCAACCCACAGGCTCCTGAGCAAGAAAATAGGTGCCATCTATGCCAGTGAGACTTGGGAGGCTTGTTATATAGAATGACTGTGCAAAGACCCAGCTCCATGGCTGGCTTCTGTCTGAGTAAACGCAGGTATATGCTTGTGAGCTTGTGCCCAAATGCTTGTATATCCAATAGAGGCTGACTGCGTCCTCCTAGGACCCAGGCCTGTGCTGCAGGTTTGGGGATGAACCTCCCACCACAGTCCCTGCCTTCAAGGACCTCTTTCTGTCTCACAAGGGAGGTAAGGCATGTTCACAAATATCTACGCAATAAGATAAAGCATGTACGAGCGAGGCATGGAAGAGGCAGAAGGGGAGGGAGATCAGACTTCCATGGAACAGCAGCTTTGGGCTAGAGGCACTGCTGTGACTGGGCTTGGGGATGAGGTAAGAGAGTGGTGGAGTCCAGGGCGGCTTAGTGGGGGGTGAGGCAGCTGCAGCCGGCGGAGGTGAGCTTAGCCACGCCAGGCTGCGGAGGTACCAGACCCACAGTCCCCATGCCTCAGAGCCCAGACCAAACCTGTGAGGAACACCCAGCATCCTGCTTTTCTCTTTCCTCCTTCCATAGAGAGATGGAAGAGGCCGGGGCTCAGCCTGGCTCCCTGGGCTCCAGGAGGGTGAAGGTCATGGCTGACGGATGGCTCCTCGCTGCACAGGGCCAGGGCCAGCATCTCTCACAGTGAGCCCCGACATCAGGGCAGCTCAGGGGCAGTATTGAGGTAGAGAGTCTACAAAAGAAGCCGGTACTTTCTCTGGGGCCCCCTTTGCCAAGGGGCCCAGGCAAAATGCCCCAAAGGAGGCCAAGCTCCTCTCGACATCTGCCCTCTAAGGCTCAGGCCAATGGCTATTGCAGGGTTTTATGGGTTCAGTGCCACACCGGGAGGAAATTCCTCCCGTCAAGTGGCTACTTTCACACATCTCTTTTCATTCGCAGACAGCTCCCTCTGTGTCCATATAACAGCAGTAATTCTAGTGGTGCTAGTACAAATACTGAAAATAATACTAAG